CCGGAATCCAACTGTGACCTCCTGGTTCATAGGTCGACGCTCACCACTGAGCCCCGCCGTCCGGGCCAGAGATGGATTTGTTAGGGTCCCCGAAAGGAGGTGTGTGATCGTGAGTGATATTTCTCACTTGTGTGGCTGCCTCGTCTTCACCCTGAGGCTGGAGTGCAGTGTTGTGAATGCAACGCGGACAAGTGTGAAGCACGATTCGTGAGGGGCTCCCTCTCCAAGCAGCTGGAGAGGAACGCCACTGTGATGTCACTGGATCTGTGATGTCACTGGATTTGTGATGTCACTGGATTTGTGATGTGGGCAGTGAGCGCCGGTCTGACCGCCCTTCCCTGCAGGCCTGGCGGTGGGACCCGCTGTCAGGTGGCTCCGTCCTGCGGTCCAGCCCCGGCTCCAGAGCCTCCCCGGGGCCCAGCTGGGCCGGCGGGGCCTGCAGCCTCTCCGCTCCCCGCAGGTTCTCTTCAAGCTGCTCCTGGGCAGCGCGAAGTTCGGAGAAGCCGCCTTATTCCTGTCCGTGCTGGGCGTGTTTAACGTCCTCTTCATCTCCTGCGTCCCCGTCGTCCTGTACTTCACCCGCATCGAGTACTGGAGCCCTTTCTCCAACATCCCCTGGGGGCACCTGTGCGGATTCTCCGTCCTCCTGCTGAGTGAGTAGCCCGCCCGCGATCCCCGCCCTCAGTCACTGGGGAAAACACTGCCTGTATATAACAAACACCAACATTCAACTCCCTGCTTTCCTTTTTATTTTTTAAAAATATATTTGTATTGATTTCAGAGAGGAAGGGAGAGGGGAGAGAGAGAAACATCGATGATGAGAGAGAATCATGGATCGGCTGCCTCCTGCACGCCCCACACTGGGGATGGAGCCCGCAACCCGGGCATGTGCTCTGACCGGGAATCGAACTGTGACCTCCTGGTTCATAGGTCGACGCTGAACCACTGAGCCATGCCGGCTGGATGCTGGTAACATTTATTGAACACCGATAAGTGTCAGCGTTCAATAAATAATATCACCTATTATCATATAAATGTCATTGTCATCCTTACTTGATAAAAGGCTGGTCTGGTGCGAGGCAGAAATGCAACCAGGAGGTGCCTCTTCATTTCAGTCTGAAAATGCAGACCCCAGCCCAGGCAGCGTGGCTCAGATGGCCGACCTAGGAACCAGGAGGTCACGGTTCGATTCCCGGTCAGGGCACGTGGCCCAGATGTGGGCTCGATCCCCAGTGTGGGGCGTGCAGGTGGCAACTGATCCATGATTTGCATCATGGATGTTTCTCTGTCTCCCTCTCTCTCCCTTCCTCTCTGAAACCAATATAAATATATTTAAAAATAAGAAATAAAAATGCAGACCCCAGGACCCCTGCTCACACAGTCAGCCCCACGTCCCTGCCACCCAGGCGGGGAACAAAGGGTGAGGAGGCCTGTCCTCTTTTCCGGCGCCTTCTCACTGGTCACCTTTACTACATTTCTCTTCCTTCTTCAGGGAAGGAGGGGAGCTGAGCCATCAGGAAAGTCGTCCTTAATCCCCACATACCAGAGCCCGCCCCCCCCCCCCCCGCCCCGAGTTCACGGGGTCAGAGCTGAGGGCAGTGATCCGAGGAGCTGGGGTCAGACAGAGCCCACGGACCGGCCAGGGCCGGTTATGAGTAACTGCTTCTTACTCTCCGTTTCAGCGTTCAATGTCGTGTTAAATTTCGGAATTGCTGTCACCTACCCGACTCTGATGTCTCTCGGGATCGTCCTCAGTGTGCCTGTGAACGCAGGTGAGTCTCTGCTTGGCTGTAGACAGACGCACGCATGCGCATTCATCGACACGCACACGCTCCCACACACACAGAGCACAGAGGGAGCCTGCGTCCTCACCCCAGAGCGCTTGTCTCTTCTGTCATTTTGGGAGGGACCAAGTATTTGTATTTATTATCTGCACAAGTCCCGTTCAAGTTTGGTCTTCAAAACGTAGTGATGTGCATACATGATGGATGAAATAATGCTCTTCAATTCTAAGAATAAAGCATGTCGTTGTAGAAAACGTGGAAAGTACCAAAAATTTAAACGATCATGCGTTCATTGTCCTGACACCCACCGGTGGCCACAGTCAGGCTTTGGTTTATACAGGGTGGGGCCAGAGTAGGCCTATGGCTGTGAGCAGGTCACAGGGTTTATTCTTGTGTGATTATTTAGTAATTATTGTCTTCTTTTTTCTTTTTCTTTTAAGGGAGAGGGAGAGAGAGAAACATCAACGATGAGAGAGAATCACTGATGGCCTGCCTCCTGCACGCCCCCAACTGGGGATCGAGCCCAAAACCCGGGCATGTGCCCTGACTGGGAATCAAACCCGTGACCTCCTGGTTCATGAGCTGACTCTCAACCACTGAGCCACACCGGCCGGGCAATTGTATTAATTTTCATAGGAACAACTGTCAACCTGTGTTTGCCCTCCCCCTGTCTATTTGCCTAACAAATCCGTGTCTGAACCGAGGTGAGTTGGGGGAATCAACTACAAGTTCAAGGCCTCCCACCAGAGGGAGCGAAGGGTGATGTGCCTGAGGCAGCCCCTGCCACTGGGCACAGAACCAAAGTAAGGAAGGTTCTGCCTTAGCCGGTGTGGCTCAGTGGATAGAGCGTCAGCTTGTGAACTGAAGGGTCCCGGGTTCAACTCCGGTCAAAGGCACATGCCCGGGTTGTGGGCTTGATCCCCAGTGTGGGGCGTGCAGGAGGCAGCCGATCCATGATTCTCTCTCATCATTGATGCTTCTATCTCTCTCTGCCTTTCCCTTCCTCTCTGAAATCAATAATAATAATAATAATTATATATATAGAAGGTTTTGG